AGAAGCGGGGCCGCCAGGAGCTGCAGCGCATGGCGGGAGTGCTGCGGCGGATGGAGGCAAGCGAGCGGCTGGTGGAGAAGATGAGGCTCTACGCCACAGAGCGGGAGGTGATGGACATGCAGCCCTTCATCAAGAACTCGCTGGAGCAGCTGCAGCAGCTGCAGCCACCAGCAGCCAAGGACCGAGCGCAGCCTGGGAACTTTGCTGAGTGCAGAGCCAGGCTGCAGGCGCTGGTGGAGCGTGTCATGGGGCACCCAGGTGAGGAGTCAGTGTGGGGATGGATCCAGCCACACCACAGGCAGTGGGGACCTGGGCCAGCTCAGAAAGCAGTCACCCGGCTCTGGGTCCCTCAGGGTTCAGAGCCACCTCCCTGGAGCAAAACGAGCCCTGCACTCTTGCAGGGTGCCTGTTTCCACTGGGGCCAAGATTTGCTCCTTTGCTTATATGGCCAGAGCCTCTTTTTGCTGTCCCACCAATCTGGCAGGTTCTGGTGATGCTGATTTCTGGGTCCCCAGAAAAATCCTAAGCCACTTGGGCCATCCCTAACCAAAGGGCTGTGAAAGGGAAAGGAGACCAGAGCTGCCCCTTCCTGGCTGCAGCTGCTGGGCAGGTTTTTCCCAGCTCAGCTGCCACCAGGGCCAGTTGGGATCTCCAGAGGTCCCGATTCAGGATTGCAGCCCTGCTCTCTCCATTGCAGGTACTAATTCCCAAGCTGTCCCCGCAGTCGAGGTGGCCCTGGAGAAGAACCCGGTGAGATGTCCGTGTTTCATCCCGGTATATACTGCCATGCGGGGAGGGCTCCTGCATCAGCTGAGATACGAATCCCCCCTTCCTCTGACCTTTGCAAGCCTTTACCAAGGGTTTGCCTTCCCCTCCCCAGCCCGTCACTCCCATTTCTTCATCAGTAACAAACCCCCAGGGATGCTTCTGCTTGGGCAGAGAACAACCTGCTTTTAGCCATCATTTTCCACTGCCCAGACATGCTCCTACCCCATCCTGATTGTCCAAGCCTGCTGCTTCATCCCTCATTCTTGTCAGGAAAAAACGCAGCCTCCCTGAGCTGTAGCACTGCCAAACATCCACAGCTGAGGCATGAGCCCTGAGCCAAGCTGGAGAGCCAGGCTGTGCCTCAGTTTCCCCTCTGTTGATGATGCTTCTGCCCCTCTCAAGGTTCACTCTAACACTGCTCTGCACTCTCTCTGTAGCAAGGGGAGTCTGTCCAGCCTGAGAGCCAGACCATCTTGCCCACCTTCACCATCAGCCTTGGGGAGATGCAGATGAGCCCGGTAAGAACAGCCCTGAGCAGGCGGGAGCCTTTGGGGACCAGGAGATGCCACCCTGGTGCCTTACATCCCCTGTGCTCTCCTCTGCCTAGGCTGTCACTGACACTGCATGGCCCAGGCGAAGGTTGCACTGTGTGGAAAAGGGCAGCCAGGTCTCACCCAAGGTACTGAAGCTGGAGTGTGACAACATGCCGGACCCCAGCGATCCCAGTTCAAACCAGTGGGATGGCAAAAAGGGGCCCAGCACCTCCATGCCGGGCCAGAACTGCAGCAGCATCCCTGCCGCCAGAAGCCGCATTGATGATCCAGGTGGGGACTGAGGACATGACCCTCCTTGTTACCCCATCCCTTCCCCCATCTTACGGGGGTCCCCCCATCTTTCCCAACCTCTGTGCACCCCCATGCACTCAGAGCCTTGGCCAACCTCTCCTGGGTCAGAGAAGCAAAGGGTGGGAGCTGGTTCCCGAGGGGGTAAATACAAGAGCAGTGCTCAGGGGTGGACATGGATGCTCCATCCAGCTCCATGCCCTGCCTCTGAGGCAGCCAAAACCCAAGCCTGGGGAGGAGCATAGCAGCAGGGTAAGTACAGACAGAATCTGCTGCCTCCTTCTCCAGGAGCTATGGATTTTCCTGGAGCATCCTGCAGTGAGGGGTCCCGGGCTCAACTCTGCAAACAGGAGGGAGGATGAAATGCATCTTCTGGAGAGGCTGGTACAGGGTCCACAGGGTGAAGCAGCAGTGGAGAGGTTGCCCCCACCTTGGGGTGCATCCAAGAGCACCCAAGGAAAAAAAGTAGAAGCATTTGCCTTCTACTGCAAAAATCAGGAGATAAGATCAGTCCTCTGATGGGAAAATCAGTGTGATCCAAAATCATGTCTTGAAGCTTCAGCATCCTCCTGTTCCTTCTGCAGAAGACACCAGCATTATCATCTCCAGCTCAGAGGACAGCGAGGAAGACATGGCGGTGAGTGGAACGCCTGACCTCCCTCCTTGCTGAGCCATGCTGCACGCAGAAGAGGCAGCTGCCCCCCATCATCTCTGGGGTGCCATTCCCTTTCCTCCAGCTATGCTCAGACCCAAGCCTTCTCCCTTCCCAGCATCAGCCAGAGACTTGCTTGCAGCTTTCTCTTCTGCTGTGGTTGCTCCCAGGCAGCAGGGCATCTGGGCCACCCCAAATCTAGTCCTCCTACACTAAGACCTTTGCTGGCATCTCCTAGTGTTCTGGCACAACCAGGGTCCTCTCTCTCAGTCAGCAAACCCAACTTTGATTTTTCTCTGAGGTGGGATCCCACACCAGACGATCCCCCAAGACGACCCTTTCAAATTGGTCCTTATGGCCTCTTCCTTTCCACCTTGCTGGAAAGGTTGTTCTCATCTTAAAAAAAAAATAAATCCATTTTCATATAAAAATCAAGTTTTCAAATTGAATGTAGCATCCATGCTCGGAGATTCATCAGTAGTCCTGTGCCTACACAGGCTAAAAAGCTCCCAGGAGCTACCAGAGCAGGTAGGGACCAGCTGAGCATCCCCAAAGTGACATTTCCAAGCTCCCTGCAGTGACATTTCACAGCACTGGTGCTGCAAACCCTGTGTGTTGCAACCAAATGGCCCTGGCTGAGTTGGTTAGATGAACCAAGGGCATGGAATCCCTGCTGAGATGCTCCGTCACCATCACAAGCAGGGGATCCCTTTGGAAATGGAGGTGAGCATGGACAATTTGGGATTGGCAGGGGCTGGTTTTCCAGCACTGGCTTAATGAGGGGTTAACAGCCCCATTATTTTTTTTGTATAAAGTAATGCAGAAGCTCTTACTCTTCAATAAAGTTGTTCCCAGATTAAATTCCAGCCTGCTGCTGGCTTCCTTATTAATTTTTTCCTTTGCTGTTTTTCCTTGCTCTCCTGATTTGTCTCTAAGGGGGGGAAAAAGGGAGGGAAGAGTTGTGGGGCTAAAACTCTGTCCCCATTCCCTGCTAATGCCAAAAAATCCAAAACCTGGGGCTTTTGGGGATGTTAGCTGCTTGTGAGAAATCCCTGCATGAATCAGGTGTCCTTTGGTACGATGTGGTGTAACATTGTGAAGGGTGTAACAAAGGCACAGGCTGAAAAAGAGAAGTCCCAGGGTTATAAACATCTGGTGCTGGGCAGTACAAAAGTGCAACTCTGAGAACTGGGAAAAATCGGTTTAAAGCCTGGAAAAGGTGGTGGTGGGGAAATAGCAACTGAATGAGAAAAAAGGCTGAACAGTGAGATGAAGCCCAGGGAAGCTGCAGCCTTCAGGGGGTGGAGGGTAAGGGCTGAGGACCTGCCTAGAGGCTCAGACACCTAAAATTAGATTGGGGGGCTGGGGAGATGGGGTCACCTGGGGACTGTCATGCTCCGCATGCCGAGCTGAAGCCGCAAGAGCTTCGTCAGCACCTGGCTCTGCCTGGATCCATCGCCCGCAGCCACCACAGTGCTACAAGTCTGGGTGATTTTCCTCCCCAAAATATTTTTTTCTCTCTGCTTAACCCTTCAATAAAAGCTTTTTGCATAGAAATTCAATTTGCATGTTGCTGGTCTGGGTAACAAGAGCATCTGCAATCACATTCTGTTGCCAAGTTTGGTTCATCTAACTCCCTTCAGGCCAACTGGGTCATTCTGGGTGCAGACAGGCAAGGGGGACACAGGACACCACCCCACTGCCGGTACCTTTTCCTGTCCCTTCCCAGACAGAGGAACCCCATATGCCCTTCAAATTTTAACCTGGCATTTAAGCAATCCCAGGTCCCCTGAGCTGGCGAGTGCTTGGTTTTGCTCACATGCCTGTGGACATCAGTCAGCCATGTTTCCACAGCTCCTGGGCTGCAGGTAAAGATGCAAAAACTGGTGTGGAGGGAGATGAACATCCCATCGCTGCAGGGTGTCCAGACCAGGGGTGCAGGATTGTCCCTGGGGGAAAGAGGGAGGAAAACCAAGGTTGGAACATCTTGAATGTATTGCTGTCCTACCTTCTCGTAGGGAGATATTTGCTGTGAATGTCCATCCCTCCTGAGGCTGGGCAGGGGATGGTTGGCATGGCTGCTTTTACTCACCCTTGGGAAGCACCACTGTAGGCACTGGATCTTCTGAGCCCGGAGGGGCACCAAACCTCCTCCTGGCCCAATTCAGTCCCCTTTTCCTCTAAACACCAGACAGATCTTTTAGTCTAGCTCTATCTCATGTGGTAAGGTTGCTCAGCCATGTTTATGTCCCTGCATGAGCTGCATCCACATAAGATGTGCAGAAAGGAACAGCAAGATCCCAGTCCTGCATGTTGTGTCCTTCTGGCGACTGCCAGCATCACACCCCCCGCTTAGGATGAGCTGCATTCAGGGCTATGCACCTGCTTGTTTCACCCGCATCCTGGTTTGGGGTTTTCAATGGGGCTCCCCATGGCCAGCCCACTCCTGAGACACAACACACACCAAATCCATCCCTGGCAGTACCGGGACATCAGACCCTGTGGGTTTCATGGCATTGCACAAACCAGGTCCTTGCCTATGGCCAATGGTGCACCCAAGGAGCTCCTCATGCCTTCCCAGCCAGACCCAAGCAGGCAGACAGGACTTGGCCCCCTTCTCCAATCTCTTGCAGGCTTCCAGCAAGCCCAAGGACAGCAAGAAGCCCTCCAGCCCTACGTGGTCCGGGAGCGGCACCTCACCCCACCACAGCACTGGCCCCACCAGCCCCTGCAATGACAGGTCAGAGCTGAGCACCTTGGTGTTCCTCAGCTTGAAGGTTGATCACAAAAGTGAGCATTGCTTTTCCTGGACACAGGGGGCTGGGGGCTGAGAGGGGAACCCCCAGATACTTACTCCAGCCGCATCCTTTCCCCTCCGCAGCCCAGCACATCATGGAGGTGGCAGCGGCAAACGGAAAGGACACCTTCAAGACGATGATTCAAACGCCCGAGTCAATACTGGCGCTGTTCTCCCAGGGTGTCCCCATGGAGGTGGGGATGCAGCACCTCCTCTGGTACCTCTCCTCCTTGCCCAGGCCCGTCCTCATCGTCTATAACTTCTGGGGACCGGAGCTGCCTACTCTCTTTAAAGCCCTGGATGCCACAGACAGAAAAGTGGACTTCTGCCACATTGCAGCTGGTTACGTGGATATGTTGTCCTTGATCAAAGAAAAGCTGCCCGAGGCCCCTTCCTACAAGCTGCAGAACCTGCTGAGAAGGCACCTGCAGCAGCAGCTCAATGAGGGCAGCGCTCTGACCACAGCCAAGGCCTTGCAAGAGCTTTGGGAAGCCCTGAAGCTCCCTGCCTGCATTGATGCGGGGATCATGCTCACCCACTGCAACCTGCAGAGCTACACCATCCTGCGGCCCCTGGTGCAGGAGAAGCTGCTCACCAGGAGGGCGCTCAAGATCCTAGCCCGACGCAACCTCATCCTCTGGGAGCTGGAACAGGCATGAGCACATCCATGGGGTGAGCTGAGCTGGCCAGATCACAGGATAACCTCACCAGGGGTGCTCACCACAGATGCAGGGAAGCTCACAGCGGCCACGAGCAGGACATGCAGACCCTCTCTACTCCCAGCATGGGGCTTAAAAGGTTCAGGACACTGGATCAGCTCTAGGGGGAAGAAACCACCCAATCAAATTAATATCTTTCTAAAATAAATCAGGCAGGGCAGCCCAGCGTAATTTATTGGGGCATCTCCACCCCTTTTCCCAGCCGGGCAGGGGGGGAGATAACTCGGAGCGCTGCTCGCTCTGCCCGGACAGCAGCAGGTACCTTACACCGAGTGTCGTCGTCCCCCTCCCCCCCCCCAAAAAAA